AGCTGATTGTGCACATGGCCGTGACCCTTGTCTGTCCCTAGTAGGACCTAGTTATGTGTGAGAGACAAGCTCAATGCTTCTCCTCATGACTACTTTAAAGTTTATAATGACCACTATAAAGTGTTTTTAATTTTGATCCTTGGGCTTCATTCAGATTAGGAAAATTCTGAATAACAGGAATGGCAACTAGATTGACAGAATAAAAATCTTCACTTACTCAGAAAAAATATACTGTTGAGTATCCAGTCTTGTTGCTTAAACTAGCTGGGAATAGTTAAACCTTTACATTAACATCTACTCATGTATTATTTTACTTCGCAGTCTTAATTAAACTCGTATTTTTTTAGCTCAGATCCTTAGATATCCCAAATTTGCATCACTAGTCCTTCCCACGCTCTTATTCTGAAACTGAATCAAAATTATTTCTATTACATAATACAGTGCTGCCAACTATAGTCTAATGTTATACACTAGATCTTGAAACCTTATTCATCTTATAACTGAAAGTTTGTATCCTTACCAACCTCTCCCTATTTCCCCCACTCCCCAGCCCCTGGCAACCACTTTCCTACTCTCTGTTTCTATGACTTTAATATCAAATTATCATGTTGTACACTTAATCTTATAATTTTATTTGTGAATTATACCTTAATAAAGCTTTAGGGACAAAAAAAGAAAGATTTCTCTTTCAGCTTCACTGGACATTAAGGAAGGATGTTTCCTTGTCTATTTTGGTTCCTGGGCCTTACTTTCCAGCTTAGGCCATTCAACTCTAGGTAATAATATTTATTCAGCTTCCTATTAGCGCAGGCCTCCTCCTTCCTAGATACATAGCCTGTTTATATTCTCTTGATTCCTTTGACAGTGTTTAAAGCGTTCAAGTGGTACAGATACAACCTAAGACTGAGTCATAACAAAGACTGGTGAAATAAGTCTATTATTTGGCAACGTAATACGCATAATTTATATTATAAATGTGTGTGTGTGTGTGTGTGTGTGAGGCACTGTGAGAAGAATATGACATAGTCAAAGCACCTCTCTTAAGAATGAACCTGACTTGAATGGCCAGGAGTACACAAGACCAAGGACTGGAGATCCTCTTATGCAATTCTGCAATAAGGGATTGATGGTGAAAGAAAAAAATAAAGCTATGGAAATAAGTCAGTCAGAGAAAGACATGTATCATATGACCTCACTGATAGGAGGAATTCTTAATCTCAGGAAACAAACTGAGGTTTGCTGGAGGGCGGGGGGAAGAATGGGGTGGCTGGGTGATAGACACTGGGGAGGGTATGTGCTATGGTGAGTGCTGTGAAGTGTGCAAGACTGTTGAATCACAGATCTGTACCTCTGAAACAAATAATGCAATATATGTTAAGAAAAATAAAAGGAAGATAGCAGAAGGGGAAGAATGAAGGGGGGAAAATCGGAGGGGGAGACGAACCATGAGAGACAATGGACTCTGAAAAACAAACTGAGGGTTCTAGAGGGGAGGGGGGTTGGGAGGATGGGTTAGCCTGGTGATGGGTATTAAAGAGGGCATGTACTGCATGGAGCACTGGGTGTTATACGCAAACAATGAATCATGGAACACTACATCAAAACTAATGATGTAATGTATGGTGATTAACATAACAATAAAAAATTTTTAAAAAATAAAGCTATGATAGAATAACTGGAAAAGGCACTATAAAGTAAGTGTGATGGCTAGAGAAAAGAGCCTTAAGATAAAGATAGCAAGCTAGTATAAGTACATCACCATGCACAAGTAATTTACCTTTCTGAAAATAGTTTGTATCATGAGATGTTTTCACAGCACAGAACATAGTTTTGTGGTCTAGCCAGCAAACCAAATGGGAATGATCACAGGAACAGTAATAAAGAGGAATTGGCATTCTCAAAATCTCCATCTCCAGGAAAGAAACATTAGGCAATGATAGCTGAAAATCTACAAGCCATGAAACCAGAAACTTTCCAGATTTTCAGTTTAGGAGGTAGATGGGGCACATTTAGTTTAGATTACACTGTATCTTTTTTAAAGGGATGCCAGTATTTAAAGTTGCTACGTTGGAACGAAGGGATGTGGCTTCAGCCCTAGCAAAATTGGAGGCACATGCCTTCTTTATCCTTCATTTAGCAGAGTTCCCACAACCAAGGTGGAGGACATAAGAACATGGAAGATTCCTTAGAGAGCCAGACCAGTAATCCATGCAGCCTGACCCTGAGACAGCTAGTGTCTAAGCACAGTAGCTCTGCCCTCCATGATATTGTCCACAAAGACCGGGAATACACCTGAGAACTTCCAGTGCCCTTTATTCACCAATGATAAGAATCAAATCCTTTCTTTTTTGCCAGGCTCTAGTTAGAGGCAGTAAATAAAAGAAATCTAGAAAACAGGTAATAGAGAAGTTTACAACACAGTGCTTTTTACTCTTTACTCAAAATGATATTAAATAATGATCAAATATCTCCAGTTCTAGTTTTTCAGCCCTCTGCTGGTAAAATTTCTTTCCCTGAACTATTTCCAAAGATTGAACCTGATTCCATCAAATCAGGAATGTTGGGAAAAGAGCAGCTTGTCCTTCAGCATATAATATATGCTGGACATATAGATATAACCTGGTTTCTTCTTCCCTATAGGCTAAATGACATGTCTTCCTCTTTTATACCAAACATAAATGACTGCATTGAGATCCAACTGTAATTCTTCTTTTCAAATATGGAGCTCTGAGAAGTGAGACTTTCTCTATCCTCTAATAACTAGAAATATCAAGGAGTAACAAGTGACATGACATGAAGCGAGATATAAAAATTTCAAAAATCTCTTGCCTTCTTTCCTCCCCCTTATTGTTAATTATATAAAAGATCACTTGGAATGCAGAAGCCCAAGCCTTGGGGGACTATAATATCCCATGAGAGATTATTAAGTCCATACATTTTTTAGATGAAAAAAAAGATTGTCACAAGTCAATAAGACACTTGGATTCCTGATGCAGGATTGTTCAGGGTCTCCTGGCATTCCAATTATAGATATGAACTATTTACTTGAATAGATTATGTTTTTCCAGCAATAAAGAGAGATGGTAGTGCTCTTAAATATCCCCCAGGCTTTCCTTCCCTACACTTCTCAGCCTTCTTGTGGCTAGGTTGGGACCCTGTGCCTGGCTCTGTGTAATGGCTGTGAACTGGTATGTCACTCTCCGTATGAGGCATTGAAAAGTAGGTGAGTTTTCCATACTCTCTCCCCTTGAATCAGCAGCTCTGCAGAGAGCTGGGATTCCATAGCTGCTGCAGCCTGGTGTAGTGCCCAGGAAAGACAGGCAATCTGCGCTGAACTTTACATGAAGAAGGAATAAACTTTTGCAATGCTTGGCCACTGATAGCTCAGGGTTCATTTCTTCCTGATACATAGTTTACCCTAACTTGACAAATTCAAAGGGAAATAAATTTTGTAAGTTTACTAGTTATTGCCCAAGGTAGTGAATTATGTGTTTGTGTATGGCAAACTCTTTCAAGTATTCTCAGTGAAAAAAAAATCTTTGTTTAGTATATACTGGCTAAAAATTCTGATTCTGAGCCTGGGTTAGAATCCAGCCATTTACTTTGGGCAGCTTACTTAACACAACAAGCCTCAATTTCTACATCTGCAAAATGTACTTAATAATATTAGTTAGGTCATAAAATAGTTGTGAAGATTAAATATGTTAACATTTAGGGGTGCCTGGGTGGTTCAGTTGGTTACGCATCTGCCTTCGGCTCAGGTCATGATCTCAGGGTCCTGGGATCGAGCCCCGCATCAGGCTCCCTGCTCAGTGGGGCGACTGCTTCTCCCTCTCCCTCTCCCTCTGCTGCTTCCCTTGCTTGTGCACTCTCTCTCTGTCAAATAAATAAATAAAATCTTTAAATAAGTTAACATTTATAAAACACTATGGATAAGCACTGAATAGATATTATTATTTTAGGCAATGTCATCATAATATTTTGGTCATGATGCTCTGAAAAAAAACTGAATTAAAGCGATATCAGGATTGTAAGGTGAAGAAGGGTTGGTAATGATGCCATGGCCAAAGGTAATGGTTGTCAGGCTAGGAATGGTGGAAGTTCTGGTGCTGGTAGGGGTGGCGGAGGCTGTGATTGTGTTGGACTGTGGGTCTATAGAAGGGCGAATGGGCTTTAAAATCAGGGTCTGAGACCATAAATCTTGCTGGGGAACTGACTCACAGTGCAAGGCCAGTTACGCTTAGCTTCATTTTCCTACTGGTCATGTTAGTGGCAGATGCTCTTTGAAGGACTGCAATAAATATCACCTACCATATTCAGCAAATCCCTTCTCTTAATCCTTTAAGAAAAGATGAAATATGATGGCTTCAGAAGTGTGGGCAACATCAGTCAATGGAGTGACATGGGCCTGTTTTGTGGCATGGAGTCTCTTCTCTCTCTAACCCAGGTTCTATAGAAGGGAGGGACCCTGTGGAGTCTTTTTTTTTTTTTTTTTTAAAGATTTTATTTATTCACCTGACAGATAAAGACATAGCGAGAGAGGGAACACAAGCAGGGGGAGTGGGAGAGGGAGAAGCAGGTCTCCCACCGAGCAAGGAGCCCTGTGGGGCTCGAGCCCAGGACCCTGGGATCATGACCTGAGCCGAAGGCAGACGCTTAATGACTGAGCCACCCAGGTGCCCGACCCTGTGGAGTCTTGACCAAATCAAAATTAAGGACAAGTGTGGTGAGTTTATCACTGCCACTGCTCTAGCATTGACTGACAGAAATATTCCCTATCAACCTCTACAGCAGATTTCTCCTGAGAAGGTGGCAGCACTTGGGTATAGTAATAACACCCCTCACAAGCGTCAGGTATCAGTTAAGGAACAAATCAAAGCCATCAGCTATTATTTTTAAAACTTAAAAGAAAAAAAAATGTAAAGGCCAAGTACGTAGGAAACATATTGTATGTGGGAGGGAAGGAGGGAAAAGATTGCTTACGGAGAGAAGCATCATACCTTAGACAGGGCAACCATCTGGAAGTTCCACTTGAGTGTCTGAGCAGAACTATGGAGCCGAAAAAGAATAAGAGGAATCAGGATGTGGGGTGAAGGGATTAAGTAAGTGCTTTCCTGACAACAAAACACCAGAACAAGTTCATTTTCTCTTTCCCCTTAAGAAATGTTGTAGGACACAATGTTTCGGCTTTTCTCTCCTTCCCAGCTTTTCAATATAATTAGCAAACAGTGCACATTCTTTTACTGCAGGTGACTGGAGAGACCCACACGTCAAGTGGAGGAACAACTTAGGACTGTCCTGGTTACAGTGTGTCAGTAGCTTCCTTTTTGTTTACGGAAGACTATATTTTTCATGAAGAAGAATTTTAAAAGCCTGTCTCTTCTTGCTCTTTACAGAAGATTTTAAAGTCATCGATTCTTTGATAGAAGACAGTACAGGTGGTTGATATTAATCTCCTTTTATAAATAAGGTCCCTGAAGCAAAAGCAGTTACAGAGTTTTAATAACAGAACCAGGACTAGAACACAGGTTCCTGACTCTACCTAATGCACAATTTTTTTTTCCTTAGGGCATATCAGAAAGCAAACAGTTGCTCTAGATTCTTCCTATCTGATCATAAACTCAGATACGAAGTCTCAGACTTCTAAATTCAAATGTAACCATCTCAATCTTTGTGAGTAAATACAATTGTAGCATTATAGCCCCCAAGAGGTAAGTGGGCAATTATGTAAAGGTAGGTATTTATTTTACTCTTGGTTGCCAGGCTTCCTTCTTCATGTGATCAAGTTATTCAACAGGCATTTATTGAGAGCTTATTATGTGCATGATACCACTGTGCTAGTTAATTGGAGGAATCTAATCAAAAGTAATGAGAAACAGTTCAAATTTTACTCCTAGGAGTCATTTACCCACTCTCCTATAAAAGAAGCTAATCTTTAAAGAAGCTTAAGAAAATGGCAGGGGAAGGAAAAAGAAAGAAGGGGCAAAGAGAGGAGGGAAAAGGAAAACCCACATTCAGGTAGCACTGTTCTGTGTATGTCACACTTGAGAATTCTCTTGGCCCACTAAAAATGGTCCATGACCACAGAGCACTGTAACGTACCCAAGACTAAAATGCAAGATTTGAAACTAAATATTCACAATTAGATTGCCTCAGAGAGACTAACTGGGAATAACTGGCACTGCTCCAGCCAAGGAGTAATAACAAAATCCTGTGTATTTCACCCCTTAACAGGGCTCATGACAGGAACATAAGTTAAATAAAAGCAAACTGTAAAATCACCCTGAAGACCTAATAGTCATAAGAGAACAAATTGAGAATAGCTCCAAGGCAGTCTTTTATCTTCCTCAATACTGTGCACTTTTGCACTCTAAAGTGGCAATTGACCAACTTGTCCTCTCTGCCCCTCTTCTAGTCAAATCTCCGCCATGACAAAAAGATGGACTTGAAATGCAGTGGAAAAATACCTGCCTTGGATGGGTTTCTAATGAGATTTTCAAGATGCTGCCAGGAAACTGTGGTGGTGTAATGTGCATAACGCTGTTCTACCAGGAAAGACGTGCCAGCTCCCTGTCCGAGGGTTTTCCGGGCTGTTAGTGCATAGCCCCTAGAGCTGAGGACACCTAGAGTCCCCCACATGCCCTGGCCCCATTAATTCTGACTGTCACCTTCTGGCTGAGGCAGGAGGCAGGATGACATACATAAACAGCAAGAGAGTTAATAACAGCACTTGAATCAAAATGATATGGGGAACAAGCTGCAGAGGCTGCACTCAGGTATAGAAAAAAAGAATCTATCAAATCATTTGATATTTAAAAACCTTTCTTAGAAAGTAATACAAGAGGAAATCCTGTACTTTAGAAATAAAATTCCTTTATGTTCAAAATCCCATTGGAACCAGTTCCCAGAAAAGCCCACCAGGACTTGATTCATACCACAGTGTTGGTTTGATCAACAAATACATCTTCACTGGTTACTATGACCTTGGTGTATTAGGGTGTATGTTGTGGAGTTGGGAGTGGATTAATCCTCAAGAAGACAAAACATGTAAGAAGGAAAGAAAGAAGAAAATGAGACATAATACTAATGAAGGTATCAGGAACAGGAATCTGGGTACACAGAACTTACTTAGAAGATGGGCTCCAGGAAGTGCTGGGAGGGAGTAGGGTAGCAATATGGGGAAGGAAAACCAATAGGGGTATATGACTGAGGAGATGATCATTGTATGGAACATGCTTGAAGATTATCCCAACACAATGTGAGCAAAAGCAGTATCTGTCAACTTCTATTCTCCTTTTTGAGGGTAGCTCATGGGATGTTAATTCCCCAACACCTCTGACCTATGCTATGCCTGGACCAAAGATGCACTCAGATGAGAACACCATCAGGCAGGGAGCTGCAGGAAGCCATCCGTGTGTAAGAGAGGTGACTTCTGGGCTAGGTGTAGGGATGTGGGCATAGGTGTTGTTCCAGCATGCTGATGCAGAAGATCCATGCTATTGGTGCTCAGGGGAGGAAGACATTGTCAGGGGCAAAGAAAACCAAGGCAAGCTTTCATCTGGTCCTTTAAGGAGTCAAACGTCTGAGACAGATTAGAAGTAAGACCTCTCGTGTGTTCATAGATCCCTTTCTAATACTGGGATTTTTCACCAACATACCCGAAGGTCTTTAAAAGTAAACACCATTTTCTATTTAAAGCACATTTTAGTAAATAAAAAATCCTTCTACAATTTTCACCTTATTCCTCATTCACCCCTCAGCAGGTATCCCTCCCAAAGGAGACTTGTTTACTGTCCTGACCATGTTCTCATGAGGCAAAGTTCTTGAACATTCTGAATATGGATTTAGTATGTGCTTTAATATGGATGTACTGAGCTCAGCAAAATCTTTCACATTGTCAAAATCTCATATATATTTAGTTGTAACAAAAATTAATTTTGTACACTGACAAAAAGCTGATGCCAAAATGCATGGCACTGCTTAAGTTTGAAGGATGCCCCATCCTTTATTCTTTTAAATTAGCTAGACATAGCAAATGGAGAGCAGTGTTCCAGATGAGAGGAATGGTATCTTCGGGATAGGAATGACAAGAGGAATGGTTGGTAAATGCTAAATAAACTAGTCTGACAAGAGTGTAGGGTCCACACCAAGGAGGAGTAGCTAAGGGTGAAAAAGGAGGTCTCTGGAGAGTTCTGAACATCAGGTAAGGGCTGGCACTTCAACCCCCAGCCATAAGGAGACACCATCATTATATAAGAAGATGAAATGGCAAAAGCTGTTCAGAGATGAAGGATAATGAAGCATATATGAAACATATCATAATGGTGAAAGGCTGAAAGCAAGGAGACCAATTATGAGGTCATTTACTTACTCACACATATTCTAAGGGCTTATAAATATTTCACAATTTATAAGCAAATGCATACAGTTGCACAGGACTTACAGAAAGGGAGTCCACTGAGAGAGGAAATGGAGGAAAGAGCAACTTTTCCTAATTTGTCCACCCAGAGGGGGAACCTTTTTCTAATTCCAGCAAAGGAATTGCATGTGCCAGCAAGAAGCCTGTTTTCAATTAAAACACACATGCAAATATACACACACAAAGAAGTGTTTGTATTAAGTAGATAGCAGTGGAATGGGGGCAAAGCTAAGTGGGAAAAACATTTAAATTGGCATCAATAACACCTGCCCTGCAGAAATATGGTAAAGATATATAAATTAGAAGATAGATAATACTATTTCATTCACATTAATAAACTCCATTTAATTCAAAAAAGTTGTGGGATGGGGTCATCTAGGTTTTAAAATATTCTTATTAATACTATTACTGAATCTATAAAATTTGTATAATCTCTACCTTGCAGAGCTTGTGACCATAAGAAAATATAGGTGGCCATAAAATCAAAGGGAGAGGAATGTATTCCTTCCTCAGTAATTCAGAGACCCTCAGAAGCTTACAGAGCTTCAGGTAATGGGTGGGAATATCAAAGACCATCATACAGTACTTTGATAAAAGAAGTGGGCATTTGATTCTCTCTGGTTGTTTTAATGCTTTCATCCTTTAATGTATCATTTTGTTTACAAATGTAGAAAGGCACCCACACATGCACACATACACGTGCACACACACACAGCCAAACCTGTAAATACTCCCCTTGGAGCTCTTTATGACATTGTTTTCAGATTGACCTTTGCAAAGAGCTTACTCAACCAAAATTAGATCAGAATGAAATGTGAAGGATGTTCCATCCCTTATTCTTTTAAATTAGCGAGGAACCAACTCTTCAATATTTATGATCACTCACTGAAAATACATGATTGTTCTACTGGGAAAATAAGGTTGCCTTGAGCAGAGTTGCAGGAAATCTGATTTGAAAAATCCAACTTAATAATCTCCACAATTCTAATAGGGCAATGCTGTAAATGAAAGCTCAGTTAATAGGTACAGCAAAAGAATGACCTCTGTGGATTCCAGTTAGAATAAACATATCAAGGAGGACAGATGGGGACCCAGGCTATAGTCATAAGTGGTCATTATGGCTTTTGTCATGAATAAGAAACAAAATTAAAAGCTGAAGAGAAGCAAACTATTCCTCTGTCACTCTCTAAGATCTTTATTATCTAAAGTATAAGTATTGTCAAAGGTTTATTCTTTTTTTTTTATTTAGATTCAATTAACCAACATATAGTACATCATTAGTTTCAGATGTAGTGTTCAATAATTCATCAGTTGCATATAAATACCCACTGCTCTTCACAGTGCTCCTCCTTAATGCCCAGCACCCAATTACCCCATCCACCCATCCACCTCCCCTCCAGCAACCCTCAGTTTGTTTCTTATAATTAGGAGTCTCTCATGGTTTTTCTCCCTCTCTGATGACTTCCCTTCAGTTTTCACTCCCTTCCCCGATGATCCTTTGCACTGTTTCATATATTCCACAGATGAGTGAAACCATATGATAATTGTCTTTCTCTGATTGACTCATTTTGCTCAGCATAATACCCTCCAGTTCCGTCCATGTCGAAGTAAATGGTAGGTATTCATCCCT